TATTCTTGATTTGTACCTTTGTGTCTTTTATTTGCTTTTGCTTGCTTGTTTGGTGTTTTAGACTTTTGTTTTTCTTTGCTTTTGCTTAGATCATGTTTTATTTGTAAAGGCCCATGCAAACCAAGCCTTGTTTTTGATTTTTGATATTTATTGTAGAACTTGCATTGTTGTTTATTTTAGTGTTTTGCTTGCTTTGATGTATATGGATGGATGCGTTTGTTTAGTTTTTTTTAGCTTTTTTATTCTTGATTTATTCTTGATTTTTATTCTTTTTATTTGTGCATTTGCATGTTACAAATACTACAATAAAAAAAGAAAACTAATCAATGCTTGGTCTGCATGGGCCATTACATAAAAAAAAAGGCAAAAGCAGAGAAACAAAGTCTAAAACACTAAACAGGCAAACAAACCAGATTTTTGTATACATAAATGTATACATTTTGGTTTTTGAGTTTTGTTTTAGCATTTGCATTATTTAGTTTATTGCAATTATTTTGTTTTTGTTAGCTTTTTTATTCTTGATTTGTGCCTTTCTCATTTATTTGTTTTTGGTTGCTTATTTAGTGTTTTCAGACTTTTTTTTTTTTGCCTCTTAATTTGTTTTTTACGTAAAGGCCCATGCAGACCAAATGTTTATTTATTTATTTATTTATTTATTTATTTTAGCATTTGCATCTTTAATTATTTTAGTAATTTGCTTGATTTGATATATTAGTTTAGTGCATTTATTTAGTTTTTGTTAGCTTTTTAATTACTTTTTGTGCCTTTTGCATCTTTTATTTGCTTTTGCTTGCTTGTTTAGTGTTTTAGACTTTTTCTTTGCTTTTACTTAGTTTATGTTTTATATGTAAAGTTCCATGCAGACCAGAACAATATTCACTCATGCTTTTCACTGATGTTTAATTCCTCATGATTAAACAAAAGGTGCAAACGTGAGTGTACACACCAACTCACAAAATTACAGGTGTAAAAATTTATAAAAACTCACAAAAAACATATCCCGTCATATAAGAATCAGGTATTGCAGCTACATAATAAAATAATTATTCCTGGGGAAAAGAAAAAAGAAAAAAAACATTTAAAAAAATGTAGGTCAATGGCTAAATAAAAATAAAGAATAAACTTAAAAATATGTACTGATGTATTTATTTTATTTTACGTTATAGGCCAAGAGAGGATTGAATGAAGAGAGTCTTTGATTAAGGCTCCTGTTAAACAGATTTTTTTCCTGTGTGATAATGTGCCGTGTTAGCAGAGTCTGGCCACCTCTCTTTCTCTTCTGCCATAATAAACCGGGAAGTGAGGAAATAGAGTAAAGGACCGAACAGATGGAAGAGCGATGTAGGAAATAGAAAGAACAGGGGCCACAAATGTTTGCCTCTTTCACAACCTGATAGGGATAAAAATGGACAAGGGTGCTGGAGATTGGAGTGTAGTGAGGACCGGAGGAATTGTAACACTCTAAATTTCTTTAGTCACAAACAAGTAAGAGTGATGACACTTCTTCAACACCTGCTCAGTGAAGTTCTTTCGCTGTCCGAGTGAAGTGTGAGTTTTTTTTTCACAACTGGTGCAAAATGTTTAGCTAAAAATATGTGTTATATACAATATAAAGTATTTCACATTTTACTTTTAATAGTTTAGTTGAATGTCTATGTCTATCTTTTCATTTTAATTTAATTATGTTTTATTTTGTTTTTATTTTGTATTATTTTATTTATAATATATGATTTTTTTACTTAGGACTGGACAATAATTCGATATCAATATATATCGCGGTAGATTATTTTTTTTCAATAATGGTGATATGAGTTTTAAACCCATTTCCGGTATTTCAATATAAATTTACATATATACAGGGTTTGAAATTGTGACCATTTAATCTGTGCGACCTCATGATATATTTTGGAACATTTGTGCGACTGCATATAATAGTTGTAGTGCGATGTGTTTTGATTTTTTCTAAAAACATGCTGAATCGCTCTTCCCTGCCACTATATTGGTTAATATTAGTTGTCGATCACTCAAGGCTTTCCGCTGTCAGATGACAGGAAGATTTTGTGACAGCTGGAAATGCAAACAGCTGAAGAGTGAAAAGTAAACAGGTTTGCAAACGCACATAAAGTTACAAATAATAGCACAGATGAGAGCGATCATGACATGTGGTGAATGCTGATCCGCCAGCTGAGATTAATCGAGTGTTTTCGGAGAAGGTGCCCGAATCTTGATGCGTTGCATTCAGTGCGTGTTCAGCGCAAATGTCCCCTAAATGTTAACATTTAATACTGTACAAATCATCACCAAAGAAGCTTGTCTTTACTAAGTTTACACTGAAACTGTGGCTCATAACAAAAAGCAGTATTGCGCCAGTGGTCGTCGCGAGAATCCGGCTCTGCCTGCTCATAAACTGGTGCGGCTGACTCGCCTGCTTTATTTCACAAACACAGAAAAATGAAGATCAGCTCGTAATGAGACTGAGCATTTAAACATGACATAAACCCAAATCAAACTTTTAAAGAGTGATTAAAGTGAGACTTTATTTTGTCTATTCTTTCCTAAGATGTATATTATTTTTCTATTTACATACTTGTGACTGTTTTGCAGCTTCAGCATTGAATTGAATGATTTATTATAATTTTTTTTTTGTAGCAGAAATGTTATTTATTATATTGACATGCATATAAAAACAAGAGTGCAAAATAAATATTTCTCACTTCAATGCTTCATTTTTGTTTGATGCAAACCAACAAATTTATTTTTCATAAAGTGACAGACAGAAGTTTTATAGCAGATAACTCACATTTAAGCACATTCAAAGCAGCATCATAATAAAAAATGTAATTCATTGTTACTATTATTACTATTTTATTTAAAGTTATAAAAAAGCATTTATAAGACCCTGGATGATATTATAGACTTTGCAAATTCAGTTTGCAGACATTTGTGTGGATATCGTGATATACATATTTGCCATATCGTCCAGCTCTATTTTCACTTCACAATTTCATTCACAACCTATTTTAGTCTGGTTTTGTTTAGTTTGGTTGATAAACAGAATGCACTAAGTTTGGCCAAGTCTGTTTCCACTATCACCTGCACTGCATCTCTCCTTCTCTCTCCTTGCTTTTTATCCTCCTTGTTTATGCTTTTTCCTCTCCATGACTCCTCCATTTTCATTAGTTGTTATTTCCACCCTGTTATTGTCATTGTCTCATTCTCCACTTGAATTTCTCATCTAGGGGCTTTGCAATAGCTGATTGTCTTGTATTCGATGCAAAAGCAGGGCCTGCAGTCAGTGAACTTGTGCCAAAACCTGTTAAAGTGATAGTTCACCCAAAAATGAAAATTTGCTCAGTTTACACCCTCAAGTGCTTCCAAACCTGTTTGACTTGCTTTCTTATTTTAAATGCTGAAGAACATATTTTGAAAAAGCTAGAAACCTGTAACCAATGGCATCCAAGCTAGTTTTTCCCCCTGCTATGGAAGTCATTGTTTACAAGTTTTCAGCTTTCTTCAAAATGTCGTCTTGTGTGTTTACCTGAAGAAAGAAAGTCAAACAGGTTTTTTACCACTTGAGGGTGATCAAAAAATAAGCAAAAACTGAAATCATTCAGCAGAGTATTAAGGAACTATAATGTGTTTAAAAGCTGCCTGGAACTAGCCATGTGTTGTCTGAAAATAATTAGACACCTTAGGGCTCATTCACACCAGACAAGTCTTTGATTCTAAAAATGTGAGAGGCAATGGCTTAAAAAAAGCCTGGCATAAAGGTATCCAGACACAACTACAGAACTACGTTTACATGGACACTAATAATCCGATTTTAGTATGATTAAGACAATACTCTGATAAAGAGTCTACCATGTAAACAGAGATTTTTGATTAATTTAATCCGAT